CATATTAGCTTTTTTTAAAAAATATTTTTTTATTGATTTTGTACAGAGAGGAAGGGAGAAGGATAGAGAGTTATAAACATCGATCAGCTGCCTCCTGCACACCCCTTACTGGGGATGTGCCCGCAACCAAGGTACATGCCCTTGACTGGAATCGAACCTGGGACCCATCAGTCCGCAGGCTGTTGCTCTATACACTGAGCCAAACCAGTTAGGGCCATATTAGCTTTTTATTATATAGGATAATTCAGAATAGACAGATCCTCAAATGGTCACTTTGAGACAGAAAGCAGATTAGTGATTGCCAGGGGCTGGGGGATAGAAGGAATGGGAAATGACTGCTAACGGGTACAGGGTTTCTATTGGGTGTGATGAAAATGTTCTGGAGTTAGTGGTGATGGTTGCACAACTTTGTGAATATACTAAAACTCATCAAACTGTACACTTTAAATGGGTGAATTGTAAGGTACATGAATTATATCTCAATATAGCTATCTTTTTAAAATGAAGGAAGTATGAGCAAAGAAACTGGTGAACATGAGAATATATCTAAAACACATCTACAACAACAGCTAAATTAAGGGATTAACAGCAAGGTATAATTATAATAACAGACAATCATTAGGATTGTGTGCTCTCAAAGACACACATGGAATAATTTTAATTTCAAAAAGATGAAGAACTGCAATTGGCTAAAACATCCTATATAATAAAAGCCTAATATGCTAAGTGTCCGGTTGACCGGTCGGCCGTTCAACCAATCAAAGCATAATATACTAATGATATGCTAAGGCTACTCAACTGCTTGCTATGATGTGCACTGACCACCAGGGGGCAGATGCACCGACCAGTAGATTAGCTTGCTGCTGGGGTCCTGCAGATCGGGACTGAGTGAGGCAGGCTATGCATGCCCTGGAGCTGTCCCTCGGTCCCTTCCTAGCTGGCCAACCTCCCACGACCCTCCCCGGCCCTGGTCATGCACCAGTGGGGTCCCTGGGCCTGGCTTGTGCCCTCTCGGAATCCAGGACCCCTCGGAGGATGTTGGAGAGTTGGTTTCAGCCCAATCCTGCAGGCCAGGCCGAGGGACCCCACTGGTGCACAAATTTGTGCACCGGGCCTCTAGTTGAATATATAAAAAGCCATGGATTCAGATAATTTTTCAGAAAGGAAATAATCCTGCAGGTTTCTGGAACATCAAACTTATTCCTCTAAAAATTGGTAATCATAGGGAAAGAACTAAACATTCATCCTGCCTTTCTGATGTAAACTGAATTTCAGTGTAACCAAATATCCCTATGGAAAAGGGAAAGATCTTCAGTACAGAAGAATTCTGCCTTGGGCCGGGAGTAAGGTAAAGGTGAGTGGGTGCCTAAAGCATAAAATTTAAGAAGGCACTCACCCCTGATTCTAGTTAACAAATGCAAGAGTGTCCAAATTAGAAAATTATTTCAATTATTAGTGATTCAGGCGATGGTCATTAATGCTTCTAAAACCACTAGGAGAAAGGCTGATAGGAAATGTATAAAAATCAGGCTGTCACTATCTGGAGGCAAGGATCAATCCTAAAGTCATAACAATCAAAATGATCTTGTTTGATCCTGATTCTAAACAGAAATTACAAAAAAAATTCATATAATAGAGGAAATTTGAGTATGGCTTGGTAATTGCATATTAAAGAAATATTTTTAATTTTGTTAGATGTGATCATGGCATTGTGGTTAAGCAAGAACATATTTGGGTTTTTCTTCTTGAGTTGCATACTGAAGTGTTTAGAGGTGAATTATATGATGTCTGGGATTTGCTTTAAAACACTCCAGCAGCGCCCTAACCGGTTTGGCTCAGTGGATAGAGCATCAGCCTGTGGACTCAAGAGTCCCAGGTTCGAGTCCGGTCAAGGGCATGTACCTTGGTTGTGGGCACATCCCCAGTGGGGAGTGTGCGGGAGGCAGCTGATCGATGTTTCTTTCTCATCAATGTTTCTAACTCTCTATCCCTCTCCCTTCCTCTCTGTAAAAAATCAATAAAATATATTTTTATAGCTGCAGTTTGTTAGGTAATTTTAGATTGCAAAGGGCCAGGCCATTCATACGCAAAAGCCGCTGCACACAGCTTGGGTGGGGCGGGGTCTCAGGGAATCAACAGGGCGGAGCAAACAGCTATGGCTGATCCTCAGTCCTGCCCTAAGTGGCCCCGGGTCTCAGTGTCCTGCGGTAATCACTGCAAGCACCTCTGAGAGAAAGCCGCCCTCGAGTTCCGACCAATGCCAGACAGTCCAGTTTCTCCCCGTATGAGTCTGGGTCCCCAGAGACTCGCCCGGAACTGGAGTTCAGAGCAGTCAGGAGCTTGTGTCTCCCTCCCGATTGAAAAAGACAACCGTGTCCTCAGTTGCCAGCCCTTTCCGTGTGTGCCTCCGTACCTCTGCACTTTACTTCCGCACCTCCTCTGAGTCTCAGTGTGCTTTTCTCTTTCCTTCTAGTTGTAGAATTTCCACTCAGCCAGCCTTTCTGTGGTTCCGGATGATGTCCATTTTGTCTTTTAGTTGTATTTTTGAAGTGGTTGTGCGAGGCAGCAATTTCCGGTGTTTACCTATGCCACCATCTTGGTTTTCCTGACTTCATTATTTTTGCCAGTAACTGCCCAGTGGTGGGCAGGCAACTAATTCCACAATGAGAACTAAGAGGAAATTTTGGTGAGAGGCTTCTAGGAAAGATTCACCACATTTCACTGATTTTAAAACACAATCTTTCTTTCATCTCCGAAATTGGCAAGGCTTCTCACAACCCATAGCATTTCACAATCACTGTCTGTCAGATGGTTGTGGTGATGTACTTGTCATTCCCTCTGTATTTGTGAACTTAATCTAAAAACCTGCCTTTGGGGCATCTTCTGGTAAGATCTAGAAAGTGCCAGAATTAAAACCTGCAGAGTGGGTTTCTTGTGACAACAGTGGCACACCATGTGAAGAGATACTGTACTGCCAATGGTCCTGATGTCGCAAATAACATAGGCATTAATTATCTCACTGATGAGAAATCTGCAGCAGGCGGTTCCATTGTTGGATCAGTGACTCAACAATGTCAGGTTGCAGCTTGACATCCCTGGGATTCTTTTTGTCTTCCCTTGGTGGGCCCAAGCTCTGAGCACCATGCCCTTGCCTGGCCATATCCAAAGCAGGAAGGGGACAGGGGACAAAGGTGATGCCTTTGCGACAACATGGACAGACCTTGAGAGTATTATGTTAAGTGAAATACGTATGTCAGGCAGAGAAAGACAAATACTATATGATCTCATTTATATGTGGAATCTTTAAAAAATAATGTTTAAAAAAAGAGCTCATAGATACAGAGAACAGGTTAGTGGTTGCCAGAAGTGGGGGTGGGAGGTGAGAGAGCAAAAATGGGTGAAGGGGATCAAAAGGTATAAACTTCCAGTTAAACAATAAATAAGTCATGGCAGGTAATGTACAGCATGGTGACTATAGTTAATAATACTCTGCTGCATATTTGAAAGTTGCTAAGAGAAAAAGTTGCTAGAAGTTCTCATATTAAGCCCTAGCCATTTTGGTTCAGTGGATAGAGCGCCGGCCTACCCATTGAAGGGTCACGGGTTCAATTCTGATCAAGGGCACATGCCAGGGGGAGGCAAGGAATCCATGTTTCTTTCTCTGTCTCTCCCCCTCCCTTCCACTCTCTCTAAAAATCAATGGGGGAAAAAATCCCTATATGAGGATTTTTTAAAATATATTTTATTGATTTTTTACAGAGAGGAAGGGAGAGAGATAGAGAGTTAGAAACATCGATGAGAGAAAAACATCAATCAGCTGCCTCCTGCACATCTCCTACTGGGGCTGTGTCCGCAACCCAGGTACATGCCCTTGACCTGAATCGAACACAGGACCTTTCAGTCCGCAGGCCGATGCTCTATCCACTGAGCCAAACCGGCTTCGGCCCCTATATGAGGATTAACAACAACAGAAAAAGTTCTCATATTAAAAAGTTTTCTAACCTGGCTGGCATGGCTCAGTGCTTGAGCATCAACCTATGAACCAAAAAATCACAGTTTGATTCCTGGTCAGGGCATATGCCCAGGTTGGGAGCTTGATCCCCAGTGTGGGGCGTGCAGGAGGCAGCCGATCAATGATTCTCTCTCATCGTTAATGTTTCTCTCTCTCCCTCTCCTTTCCTCTCTGAAATCAATAAAAATATATTTTAACAATTTTTTTCTCATTACAAGAAAAAAATTATTTACAACTATGTATGGTGACGGATGTTAACTGGACTTATTGTGATCATTTTGCAATAAATACAATTATCAAATCATTATGTTGTACTCCTGAAATTAATAGAATGTATGTTAATTACACCTCAATTAAAAAATTGAGACAAATTCAAGTATAAAAAAAAAGAATCGCCTAAGAAGACATGACAAATAAATGTAACGTGGTAGGTATCCCATTCCTGGAACAGAAAAGGAAAAATGGCAAAACCTAAAAAAAGTTAATACAAATGTACCAATCAAGGTGTTTTCTTGGGTGTGATGGATGTACCATAGTAACTTAATAATTAAGATGTCCACTACAGGGCACTGTAGGTGGGGAATATACAGTAATTCTCTGTGTCATCTTTGCAACTTTTCTGTAAGTCTAAAACTTTTCTAAAAATGTTTTGTTTAAACGGGAACCACGACAGTGCTTTCTTTACAGAGTCGTGGAAAATCTATGAGAAAGTGAGGTCCAGTGCAGGGCTCAATGCTTAGCACATAAAGTCAGGTACGATTACGGTGATTTTATGTAAAACGAAGGACAAGAGCTCTGACCCTTACGTGTTTGAACCAGGATGAGCCGAAGGAAGCCAATGGCGCGCAGACCCGGTCCCGCCGCCCCAGCACACGCTCCGAGGCGCGCGCGCGCACAGACGCCGCAGGAGGCGGGGCGCCAGCGCGGGGCGGGGCCGCCGCAGTTCCCACGCCGCCGACGCCCCCGGAAGTAGCGTGGCCGGGACTCCGCGGGGCGGAGGCTGTACATGGCAGGATGCAGTGTAGCCGCCAGGGCGGAGATGCCGCTGCTGTTGCTAGACGACGCGAACTAGCCTTCGTCACTTCCTCAGCCCGCGGTCTACCCTCCTGTCCAGGCCGGAACTCCGGCGCCCAGAGCCAAGGTGGGCACAGAGTCGCCCTCAGGGTTCCAGGACTGCGGCCGGCGGGCAGCTGGAGTCGAGGCCACGCCACCTGCAGGGAAGACCCCGAGCCGAGGCGGGAAGATGGCTGCAGACAAGCCTGCAGGTGAGGCGCCCGCGCCCTGCGCGCTGAGACGGCGGGACACGCTGCGGGGGTGGGGAGGAGGGTGTGCAGACCTTGCGCGCTGGGGCCGCGGGGCCCCGAGTGGGGGACAGGGGGTAAGAACTCAAAGGCGACTTTAATTGGAGCGTGCATTTCTCTGCCCCCTCCCCGCCCTCAGCCCTCGCTCATGTGAGTCTTTGGACCCCAGGTCCAATAGTTTCTTCACCCAAGTGCAGCTTGAAGTCACTACTGACTGCCTTTGCGCCCCCCACCCCTCCGCCCCGCTCCTCCAGAATATCTCTGGCTGAAAAAGCCTAAATTTAGATAGCCGTTTCATATACTTTCCGACTTCCCAGTGTGAAGGCAGAGCAGGGAAAATTCTTCCCGGAACACACAGCTGCCTCAATGACCCGCTGGCTCAGCTAAGACTCACCTGGGCGCCCTTTTGGCCGCATCAGTCTGCCTCTGGTCAGCGACGTGCAATGTGATTAACTGTGTTTAAGGCACTTATTTAAACAGACTTGGAATAATAGTGTGCCACTCGGGTCTGTGCTAACATCTTGCATTTAGAACCTGTTTCCCCCTAGTTCCTTGTGATTGCTTTCATGTCGATTTTGTTGATGAATTACTGCCCCGTTCCTAGAATCGTCTCCTTTAAGGAATATAAAACTCTTCCCTGCCTACCTCTGAGACGGTGTGGCGGCCTATGTCTCCTGTAAGAAATTAATGTCTCTGTGGCATCCAGGTTTTGTTGGAAGGAACTTAAGTGAGAGGAGTGAGAGGTGGTCAGCACTTAGCCTTCACCGTGAAATTAGTTTTTAAAGGAAAAGAAAATCTCAGTGTGCTGTAGGTTTCAGTAGGTCCTGATCTTAGTAACTGACAGATATACTTGATTTGAAATAAAGTGAGTCCATCCTCGTACAGGTACAGGTAAGTAAAACCGTTAGAGGATCTCTTCGGTAATCTGCTAAAAAGAGTAACAGAAAAGCTTTAGAAAGTGAGGATAATAGAGTGTACTGTCGAATTTGAAGTGGGCTGGTCAGGGAGAGCGTCCGGTGAGGGGATAGTTGAGCAGACAGCTGAATGCAATGAAGGAGTGAGCCGTCGGAAACAGGGATGTGTGGAAGGGGAGAAGGTCTCAGGCAGGGAATAGCACGGCCTGTCCAAGGTTCCAGGGGCCCAACATCTGTCTTCTTAATTTAGGACAGTGTCTCTATTTCCCAGGTTTACCAGACCTAATAACCCATACCATACCACTTCCTGGAATGACCGTTTTAGGCCTAAAGCTCACCTAGTTTTCAAGTCCAATCTCAGTTATAAAGTATTCTTCTACTTGTTCACTCATTCTTTCACAAAGATTGAGAGTGCCAGATGCTGCCGTAGATATTGAAGAAATGGATATGGCATACTCCCTGCCTTTGAGGAGGACCTATTATTTAGTCTGCTCGAGACAGACTGGTTATAGTGGCACTCCCATCTGTGAAGAGCTATATAATATGTATAGTTGAAGAATAAGTTCCTGCCCTAGCCGGTTTGGCTCAGTGGATAGAACATCAGCCTGTGGACTGAAGGGTCCCAGGTTCAATTCCGGTCAAGGGCACAAGCCTGAGTTGCGGGCTAGGTCCCTGGTAGGGGGTGTGCAGGATGCAGCCAATCAATGACTCTCATCATTGATGTTTCTATCTCTCTTCCTCTCCCTTCCTCTCTGAAAGCAATAAAAAAAATTTTTTTAAAAAAAGAATAGGTTCCTAAATGATTAGGGGGTTGTTTCTTTTCTTGGTTTAAGTTTGTAGGCCATGGTGTAGGAAATGTCCTACCTTGATAATGAGGTTGGATTTATATTAAGTAAACTAGTGGCCCAGTGCATGAAATTTGTGCACATTAAAAGGGAATTAATTAGAGGAAATATTTTAATGTTGCTATTTGCCCTTTCTCTATAATAGAAGTGTCAGAGCCAAAACCGGTTTGGCTCAGTGGATAGAGCGTCAGCCTGCGGACTGAAGGGTCCAGAGTTCGATTCTGGTCAGGGGCATGTACCTTGGTTGTGGGCACATCCCCAGTGGGAGATGTGCAGGAGGCAGCTGATCAATGTTTCTCTCTCTCGATGTTTCTAACTCTCTATCTCTCTCCCTTCCTCTCTGTAAAAAATCAATAAAATATATTTTTAAAAAAAGTGTCAGAGATGAAAGAAAATTAGTAAAATGTATATGAAAATCTCCCTCCTGTCAGAGTCTGGGGCTTGCTGTGGGACCCAGAGTCAAGTCCCCGCCCACCCGTGCACGCCTAGAAGTTGCTCGAGACCCAGACCCGACCAGCTTCACCCTGGTCAAGCCCCACAGGGTAGGGGGCGCAGCCTCAGGTCCCCAGGCCCACCTCAGGTCCCCTGGTCCCAGTGCGAGGGCGTGATGACCATTTGCATATTAGCTCTTTATTGTATAGGATGAGTGTTTAGTGTGGCTCGCTTGAATTCTGTTTCTCCACTCCATCCCCATTTCAGCTTCTGAGATTCTGGCCTTTATCTCTTTATGTGATCTGTTTCACATTAAGCTATCTCTTGACTGATGTTTTATTCAGTCTGTTCTTCTCACTGCTGTCTTTTCATTAAACATTTTTTTGTTGCTGTTGTCAATCCTCAACAACATTTCTTTTCAGAGAGAGTGGAAGGGAGCGGAGGGAGGGGGAAAGAAGAGAGAGAAACTTCGATGTGAGAGACACACATCGATGCTTCCCACATGCACCCTGTCTGGGAGCAAGGAGCGAACCCAAAACCAGTTACATGCCTTTGACCGGGAATCAAACCCAAGATCCTTCCATACTGGGGCCGATGCTCTAACCACTTAACAACACCAGCCAGGGCTGCCTTTTCATTTTATTTCTAAAACACTAATTGGATCATACCCCTCCTCTATCAATAAACTTTCTAAGACAATACCATTTTTTGTGTGCATCAAAACTCACTAGTAATGTAAGGCTCTTCACAAACTATTTTCAGTGGATGTTTTTATATCAGCAAATCTAACTCTTCACATCTGAAATTACACTCTTGGAAAGCGTTGTGTTCTTTTGAGCTTCTGAGCGGCAACACCCTGCTTTCTCTTCTCTATCTGGTGAACACCCTCGTCATTCAGAAATCTAGTTGATATGCTCTTCATCTCTGAGCTCCTGAGCCCAGGGCCCTTTCCATGGAAGATCTTGTGTACTTGTTCTTCATTAGGTAAGAAAAGAAGCCCATAGGATCTAGAGCAGCCGTGGGCAAACTACGGCCCGCTGATCGATGTTTCTCTCTCATTGATGTTTCTAATTCTCTATCCCTCTCCCTTCCTCTCTGTAAAAAATCAATAAAATATATTTTTAAAAAATCAATAAAATATATTTTTTTTAAAAATTGAATTCATTCAAACTAATGTGAAACCATTGGGAGATTTCAACTAGGGCATGATGTGATCTGATTTATGGTTTAACTAAACCAGGTGACAATCAATGAAGAGTTAGGAGCATAGGGTTTGAAATCAGAGAGCCTAGGTTCATTCAAGTGGTACCACTTGGTGTTTTTGAGACCTGGGTAAATTTTAAGAAACCTTTTTGATGTCTCAGTTTTCCTATGTGTAGAATAGAAATGACACCTACTGCACAGAGTTGGTAATGGTATAAGTGAGATCATCTCAGACCCTAGTTTTTTAAAATGCTGACTACTATTACTTTGGGGTAGTGGTAGGATGGGGAGGAAAGGCAGATATGGGAAATGTTTAGGGAGTAAAATTGGCAGAATTTATGCCTAATTGGTATGGTATGTAAGCAGAAAGCCTTGCTTTTCAGGAAAGGTTGAGCCTCAGTTTCTTCATTTATAAAATAGGGATGCTAATAGTTCTTTCTTTATTCCTAGTAGCTTTTTAATTACCTCACAGAGTTGTAGCTTGTGAGGATCAACAGGAGGTAAGGTGTGTATTTTAGCCCACATCTTCTGGGAAGCAGAACCCAATTAAGGTGCTAACTTTTTATTTGGAAAGTGCAAGTCCAGGGTAGTGGAAGAGATGGAGAGAAGGAATAAGGCAGGGGGAGATGCAGTACATTCCATCCCTGGCCACTGTTTCACCTCGAGCTGGGAAGAGACCTAGTCAGTCACTTGCATGTGGGATTTTTCTTAAAGGTTTTCCAGGAGAAAGAAAAAGGGGATCATTTATCTGTCTAGCTTCCTTCTGTTTTTGTTTCCAATTGGTCAAGACTCACCTCCTGGGAACAAATTTACCTGTCTTTCTAGGTTGAGTGGCCTCTCAGTGACTGATGAGCCAGCAGTCTCACACCCTGAGTTATATTTCAACCAAATTGTAAAGGGAGGAGTGTCCAAGGATAGATGGGGCGTCAACCAAAGCCAGAGATTGAAGGGCATGGAAGGTTCACAAGGTTTGTGTCCCTATATAATATATAAAGGCGGTATAAAACCAATATCATTTTAATTTTTTTTTTTAATTTGGGAGACAAAGAGAAACAACGATGGACTGCCTCCTGTACACCCCCTACTGGGGATCGAGCTTGCAACCTCGGTAGGATTGTTGGGCATGTGCCATGACCGGGAATCGAACCATGACCTTCTGGTTCACAGGTCGACACTCAGCCACTGAGTCACACCAGAAAAGGCTAAAACCAGTATCATTTTTTACTTTACTTTTGATAGTTATTTGAAAGGAGAATGTGGCTGGAGTTAGAAAACAAAATCCTAGGTTTGAATTTATCTGAGAATTTGGACTATGAGGATGGCAGTAGTAGGCTTAATGGGGAAAGGTTGATGATGATATGAACAAGGGAAAGACAGGACCAGGTGAATAATACAAAACCAGGAGATGAGTACTTAAAGGGAGGGCTTTGAAATTTTGAGCCAGACTGACTAAAAATGGAGAAACTTTAAGCCACGGGTATTTTTTATTTTATTTAAAACACCCAAAACTTTTTATTAGTAAGTGTATAAGGTAAAAAAAATATGAAGTCCAGCCCTGGCTGGTTTGGCTCAGTGGATAGAGCATCAACCTGCGGACTGAAAGGTCCCAGGTTTGATTCCAGTCTAGGGCATATGCCCAGGTTGTGGGCTCCATCAGGATGGCATGGGTGGGGGGGCTGCTGATTGATGATTCTCTCTCATCATTGATATTTCTATCTCTTCCTCCCTCTCCCTTCCTCTCTGAAATCAATAAAAATATATTTTAAAAAAATATGAAGTCCTCTATCTCCCCTCTCTCCAGATAACCAATATGAGTTTGTGTGTTCTTCCAGACTTTTTCTTGGCCTGCCCAACCTCACACTGACTTGAAAAAAACATCCTTGATAGAGTCGCACAACTTTATAGTTGGATATTTTCTTTTCCTTGAAAAATGCAGTAAGCATTCAGTATAGGTTAGTGTTTTTTTTTTAACTGAGGTATAATTGATACGTTAGTTTCAGATGTACAATGTAATGATTTGATATCTGTACATACTGCAAAATGATCACCACAGTATGTTTAGTTAACATGTGTCACCATACATACTTACAAAAATCTGTGCTCATTTGATATTTTTTCAACTTTTTATTAACAAACATCCAAAATATTGAAAAAATAAAATGAATACCCATATAACCACCACCTAGTTCACCAATTGTTACATTTTGCTGTATTTATTTTCTTCATCTCTAGCTAAGAGTCATTTCTGAAGAAGTTACAGACATCATGATATTTCATCTCTAAATATTTCACCATGCATTTCTTAAAATAAGGACATTTACCTATGTAACCATAATACCATTATACTTCAGAAAACTAATATTTGAATATGTCAGATTTCCCCAGTTGAACCAAAAATGTTCCATAAAACTTTAAAGAAACTGTGCCTTTCAAATTAAGAACCAGTTAAGATTCATATATTATATTTTGGTATGTCTCTTCCTTTTTTTTTTTTTTTCATGATTTTTTTTTTTTTTAAGAGACTAAGTTGGTTGCCTTGTAGAACATCCTATGTTCTGGATTTTTCTGATTGTTTCTTCCTGGCATCCTTTAGTTCCTTATCCTGTATTTTCTGTAAACTAAAAGTTATTTTAACAGGCTTGATTAGATTTAGCGTTAATATATTTATAAGATACTCTGTAGGTGAAGCTGAATACTTTTTATAAAGTACATATTGTCAGTTTGTTCACTATTAGATGCTAAATTTGATCAATTTGTAAAGATGGTGACAGGAACATCTTCCATTTGCAATTAGAAGAAATCTATGGGATATACACAAAATCATGTTATATATCTGGAAGTAATATAATGTTAATATGTCAATTATATCTCAATTTAAAAAAAAAGAGCCCTGGCTGGTGTTGCTGAGTGGTTAGAGCATCGGTCATAGGTTTGAAAACCGGAGGAAATCTTTTTTTCTGTGCATAAAACTACTCTCAGATATGAAAATAAAAATACCCATTGGCAGTGGTAGTGTTCTGCTTTGCCTGTCTTCCCCAAAGCATCCTGCTATATTCTTGATTCTTGATATTCTGTTTATTTCTGCAGTGCTGGACAGGGTGCTGAAGTCTATAGCACTACTGGTCACATGTTACTTCTCTGAGTTGTACAGAAATCAGCATTATAAATTGGCTGTACTAGTTCAAGTGATAGGAAACCACACATGAGGCTTGTGAGCCTTAGCTAGATGGTGACTTTGGTGAACCTGAATTATTTTTGTTTAAAATGTCTTTGTTATTTAAATTTCCCTTCACTAGAGGCATCAACACTAGTTTGTGAGTGTTGCAGATTTCCTTCGGCCTCGGCAATCCTTTTTTTCTTTGGAACAAAATTTTTTCCTTGAACGTCACAGGAGTTAAAATTTGAGAAGTCTAGCTAGCTTGTTTGGAAGATCTTCCTCCAATCATATTTGAATTGGCATTCTTTTAATGGAATGTGTCTATGCTTTCAGTTAACTGACTTTTTTCAGTTTTGAAAAAGCAGTGTGTTTCTTTTGTACTTAGTTCAAACCTAAAGGCAATTGTTTGGTTCAAAATGAAGCCCTTTGGCTTAAAGAATGTCAAGTTTTGTGCGCCAAAGAGCTCTGTGCGCCTAGAAGGTCAGCCATGTGCATTAGGCCACAGTAGAAGGAAAGTCAAGCTTATGGATGAACGGTCATACACCGTTTCAATTGGCAATGGAGACTACTTTTGGACAAATAAAGACACATTGTGGGATTACGTGCAGACTCTTACGGGTAAGAAATCAGCAGTTACCAAAAAATGAATGTTTTAAAAACATTTTTAAAACGGATTATACAAATAATACCCACTTCTTGCAGAAAACTTGAAAAGTGGAGAGAGATAACAAGGAAAATAAAAATCCCATTGAAGTATATCTTAATGTAAAAGAATGTAGGTAAAATGATGGTTGGTAAACATGTAAAAGGCTGTTATTGAGCTCAGTTCTTTGAAATGTCTGTAGAAAAGGGAATTTCAGAGTCTCTTGTCAGCCTTCGAGTCTAGCTTATTTATTTATTTATCTTAAAGTTGGCTTCTCTCCTTTCCTGGAAGATTTTAGGAGACTTTTACAGCTCCTAGAGGATAATGATAGCAGCAGTGGCCGCATGAGCCAATCTGCCTTTGGTGGAAGTAGATAGAAGCTTAAATTCCTCAACACCTTGGTGAGTTGTGTGTATTTCCCTCTGCCCTGTGTTTATACATCACTCTTTGACAGTTGAGCCCAGAAGTCCCATTAAAGAATGTCATCTAGTCCAGAGAGGATATATTTTAGAAGAAGTTATGGAGATAACTTGATGGCAGATCAAGAATTTTTGTTATTTGTCTTAAATTTAGTTTACTTTCTTATGATGAGGGAAGATACATTTTTAAAACAGTTTAGGTTCCCAAAATTTTTTTTAAGTATTTGTGTTCATTGTTATAATTTGACTAGTGTCCTGGTGCACGGATTTGTGCTCATTGAAAGGAAATTAATTAGAAGAAATACTTTAATGTCGCTATTCGCCTTTTCTCTACAATGGAAGTGTTAACCAAATTCACAATCGACAATGACAGATTGAAACACACGTGTGCAATTGATGCCAGCGAGAGCTTTATATGTATCGCACATGCATGAGTCAACTTAGCCTTTTGTGTGTGTGTGTGTGTGTGTGTGTGTGTGTATTTATAACCTTTCTTAATTAGACCTGCTTTCTGATTTAGCTAAACTTTTTCCAGCCTAGTGAAGCACCCCAACTTCTCTTTCAGGTAATTGTCAGCAACACAGCAGTAAATATCAACACAGAGCAGATTATTATTGTAGATCACGCGGGGGGTGGGGGGAATATTTAACTGTAGCAGTGTTTGACTATATTCTGCGCAGTGAGAAAACCTGAAGTCATTTTCAAGTTCCACCATTTCTTCTTTTCAGTCGGGTCAAGTTTCTAAACTTTCTAAATCTCCGTTGTCTTGCTAATGAAAAGAAAATAGGATTCTACTGATTCTCCTATCTGCCTACTCCAGGACTTCTGTGCGGATCAAATGAGATGAGGCATGGGAACACGCTTCATAGATACTTGGTTGAACTGTAAAATGTTTGCACCTGGCTATAAAGCAAGTCAGGTTCCTGGGTTGAAGAAACTCCAAGGAGGCTAGTCGCTAGGTAGAGGAAGCTGGGCGTTGCTACATGACGTCATTACCCGGCACCCACAGCGACCGTTTCCGGGCTGGGCTGGGCTGTGGGCTGCATTTTGCGTGATGAGGTCTTGGCTGCAATTTGGTGGGGTGTCACTCCAGGGTGGTGGCAGGGCCTGTGTCCCACTTGGGGGAAGCCAAGTGTTGGTTTGTGGGCATCAGGTCCGTGGTGCCGTATATATTTAAATGGCCAGTGCATGTCATGGCAGCTCTTGTGTTGAGCGTCTGCCCCCTGGTGGTCAGTGCGCATCATAGCTACTGGTCGGAGGGAAGGACGGACACTTAGCCTTTTACATAGATAGATAATAAATAGACATGGAGTTGAGACTTCTGCTTCACTCTAAACCAGTGATGGCGAACCTTTTGAGCTCGGCGTGTCAGCATTTTGAAAAACCCTAACTTAACTCTGGTGCCGTGTCACATATAGAAATTTTTTGATATTTGCAACCATAGTAAAACAAAGATTTATATTTTTGATATTTATTTTATATATTTAAATGCCATTTAACAAAGAAAAATCAACCAAAAAAATGAGTTCGCGTGTCACCTCTGACATGCGTGTCATAGGTTCGCCATCACTGCTCTAAACTCATACTTTGCTTTCTGGTGTCCTGAAATCCTGTGTCCCATTTTTACACATTTTGAAGTAATTGGTTCTTACTGTTCCTGTGCACCTGAAAGTTTTGTAAAATAGATGTACTGTGTAAACAGTAGTCTTGCAGTCAAGCATGTTGGCTTTCTAAAGGAAAAGCTGTTTTAACACTGTCCTTATTTTAAACTGGTAAACTTTCTCCATTAAACGATTAGTTCTTCTTCCTCCCTATTAGGACTCAATTCTTTTTTACAAATTTAATTTCTTATTGAATTTATTGGGGTGACATTGGTTAATAAAATTATACAAGTTTCAGGTATATAGTTCTTCAATACATCATTTGTGTATTGTATTGTACATTTATCACCCCAAGTAAAGTTTCCATCCATCACCATTATCCCCCTTTTACTTTCTTCTATTTCTTTATTTGTATGCTAATGATAAAATGAAATGCCAGTTTATCTGCTAACTTTAAGTAACAGAAGTATCACTTCTTTTTTATTATTATTATTGACTAGAGAAAGAGAGAGGAAGAGAAAGAGAGAAACATTGATTTGGGCACTTACTTATGCACTCATTGGTTGATTCTTGTATGTGCCCTGACCAGGGATCGAACCCATACCCTTGGCGTAGTGGGACGATGCTCTAACCAACTGAGCTACCCAGTCAGGGGAGAAAAAATCGGATTTTTAAAATAATAAATTGTGGAGCAGGAATCATTAATCTTAGAATGTATATGGACACTTAACTCATGTTAAGGAAGCTTTTTAAATGTGTTAATCTTGACTTTTGGATTTCTAAGTTTATGAAAGCATTCTTTGCCTGGAAATTACCTCTGAGTTATCAATGTAGATTTCTCATTGTTAAATGTTATTACTATGTTCCAACTGAATTATAAACTTCTTGAAGGCATTGTACATCCTATATAATAAAAACTTAATATGCAAATTGTCCGTTCGACCAGCGGGCAGGAAGGGAGGCTGCAGCCGGGAGAAGGAAGGCCCCAGCCAACAGCAGCAGGCAGCCGGGGGAAGGGAGGCCCCAGCTGGCGGTGGCCACAGGCAGTCAGGGGAAGGAAGGCCCTGGCAGCAGTGGCAGGCAGCCGAGGGGAAGGGAGGCTGTAGTCGGCAGGTGCTAGGGACCCTACCCGTGCACAAATTTCGTGCACTGGGCCTCTAGTGTATTTATAATCTCCTTGGGTCTCTAGGGCCTACTTTTGGTATATTGCTAGAGGGACAGAACTAATATCTTTAAAAGAGCACACCAGCCCTTACCGGTTGGCTCAGTGGATAGAGCATTGGCCCACGAACTAAGGGTCCCAGGTTCAATTCTAGTCAGGGGCATGTACCTTGGTTACAGGCCTGATCCCCAGTGGGGGTTGTGCAGGAGGCAGCTGATCAATGTTTTTCTCTCATTGATGTTTCTAATTCTCTATCCCTCTCCGTCTCTGTAAAAAAAATGTATATTTTTTTACAATAAAATATATTTTAAAAATAAAAGAGCACAACATTCTAAGCCCTAATGTCCTGATGGGCAGAGCTGTAATCCTATATAATAAAACATTAATATGCAAATAGACTAAACAGTGGAACAACCGGTCACTACAACGCACACTGACCACCAGGGGGCAGGCTCATGGCTGGCAAGCACAGAAGCGGTGGTGGGAGCCTCTCCTGCCTCCGCAGCAGCACTAAGGACCCCTCAGGGGATGTCCAACTGCCAGGGAGCAGGCCTAAGCTGGCAGTCAGACATCCCCCGAGGGGTCCTGGACTGCAAGAGGGTGCAGGCCAGGCTGAGGGACCCCACCCCCAGTGCATGAATGTCATGCACCAGGCCTCTAGTCCTTACATAAATAATGGTGGGCTTTCATTGAATTTGGCCGCAGCTAAAGGAAATTTTTTCTTAAGTTTGTAGAGGAGTGGCTTCTTACTCTACACTAATTAGTCATTGTAGTTGAGAGAGCTCTAACTTTGGCAACTTCATTAGGAAGAAGACTATTAAGAAGAAAACTAGGGACACATCACTGCACAACTGTTATTTCTAAAGAAGTGTAAAACTGTTTACTTGCAGATCAGGGAGCCGAGAAGCATGAAGGGACAGGTCAGTCCTCTGGGATCACTGATCAAGAGAAGGAGCTGTCCACCAATGCTTTCCAAGCTTTCACGGTAAGAAATGTTTCCCTTAATCAGCTCCATTTTTAGGATCTGTCAAATATGAATTGTTTCACATTGAATTTTTAAATTTATAATTTTTCTGTGTGTTTACTAATTAAAGAGTTAAGTTTAGAGAGTAGGTTTAGTTTTAAAATAAAAACATTTTAGAGTTTAACTATGGTAAAGAATCAGGAATGGTTTGAGCCATTCCCAAGTTTTTGTGTTTTCATAAATATATTTTAACTCTCACACTATTGTTTTTAAGTCTTTCAAATTTATACTTGTAAGTATGTGGGTCAGCCGTTTCATTTCACTAGTCTCTTCAATTTTTTTCTTGAATGTACTTTAAAATAGAACCCCAAAAGTTTGTCAAAACACTAACTATTCTGACATTTTTAAACAATATGAAAAAAAAACACCTTATATTTGATTATCAAGTTGCATACATGTAAGCAGACCTTGAGACTTTGGTATTCAGAGTATATTAACTAGAAATTAAAATGTGGAATAATCACATTACCTTTCTTGGCTAGCTTTGGCTATTATACCCTGCTAGCAATATGTACCAATATATACTAATAACTAATATATATATTACTAGAGGCCCATTGCACGAAGATTCGCGCAATAGGCCTCCCTTCCCCTGGCTGCCGGCATTAGTTTTCCTCCGGCACCCAGGACCCAGGCCTTTGGTCCGGCCACAGCGGAGAAGCCAAGCCTCAAGGCTAGGCTTCTCCACTCCGGCTGCAGCGAGGCTAGGCTTCTCCACTCCGGCTGCAGTGAGGCTTGGCTTCTCTGCTCCGGCCACAGCAAGGCTTGTCTTCTCCGCTCTGGCTGCAGCGGAGAAGCCAAGCCTCTTCAGTGGTCTTCAGTCTTCGTTCCGCGCCTGCATATACAAATTAACCCGCCATCTTTCTTGGGTTAATTTGCATAGTTGCTCTGATTGGCTGATGGGCTAGTGGAGTGACGACCAATTTACATATTTCTCTTTTATTAGTGTAGATGCTAGAGGCCCCTTGTGCATTGATGAGGTCCCTCAACCTGGCCTGCAGGTATTGGGCCAAAAACTGCTCTTTGACATCCCCTGAGGGGTCCTGGATTGCGAGAGGGTGGTTCTCAGGTGATGCACCCCGGAATCGGGCTCCCTCCTCTCTGGTTCCAGGTGCGTCACCCAAGAACCACAGCTGCCAAGTCACCGCAGCTCGGCAGCTCCTGTGTTGAGCGTTTGCCCCCTGGTGGTCATTGCACGTCATAGCTACCAGTCAGACAGTCGCTTAGGCTTTTATATATATAGATATGATTATAACATATATAGGTATAGTTTATATATATATTTATATGTATATGTGTTATAGAAATGATGCACATTTATCAGTGTTAGAGTTTGATTCTTAGGAAATGTATAGCCACCATTTCTGTTTCTTTTTTTTTCCCAATTTTACTGAGATATGATTGACATATCACAGTTTGTGTGTTTTTTTGTTTGTTTTTTTATTAATCCTCACCCGAGGATATTTTTCGATTGATTTTTAGGGAGAGTGGAAGAGAGAGGGAAAGACAGAGAGAAACTTTGATGTGAGAGAAACACATCGATTGGTTGCCTCCTGCACAAGTCCCAGCCAGGGCCCGAGCCAAGGAGGAGCTTGCAACCAAGCCTGCCCTTGACCAGAATCAAACCCAGGACCCTTTGGTCTGCAGGCCGACGCTCTATCCACTGATCCAAACCAGCTAGGGCACACGGTTTCTTAATTGACATAAACATCGTTTTATCTAACAACTTTAACTAGCATATTTGGGGGAATTATATCTTTTTAAAGAGTTTTAAAATAAAGATGAGTGGAATATATTTGGAAATGATCATATAGGTCTTAAAGCTGGTATGTAGTTTTGTGAATGTGTGTTTTCATTTTTGTTTTAGGCTGGAAATTATGATGCCTGTCTTCAACACCTTGCCTGCCTACAAGATATAAACAAAGATGATTATAAAATAATTTTAAATACAGCGGTAGCTGAGTTTTTTAAAAGTAACCAAACAACAACAGATAGTTTGAGACAAACACTTAACCAGCTGAAGAATCAGGTAATATACACAAATGAATTTAGCTATTATGCTCTCTAAATTTTAGGATAAAAATAGTTAAGGAAAATTAATGTGACTTATTGTCTGATATTCATAGCACAATTTCTAATATATCTGTAACATTCATTGGTATTAATTTTACTTGTATAAAATTATTATTCCAGGAAATGAAAGTTATGTAATATGATTTTGTTTTCTATTGGGTTTTCTTACTTGAATAAAATAGATTTATATACCAAATTTGAATGTGCTTTGGGTAGACAGAGAGTCTAGCTTGAAAATGCAAAGTGGTGTAATTTTCTTTTGGTATCAGATGGTGACATTAGGGTTCTAGTAAAGCCCTTGGGAGTCTGTTTTCACTACCATGTGTGACAAAGTGTATTTTGTTAATTACTTCAAAAAAATCTATCCTTTTTACTAAGGGAACAAAACCTGAACATCATAGGAAAATCAGAAAGTATACTTCCTAGCTATATGGCTTTGGGCAAGATAATTAAGCTTTTTGTGCTGGTTTCCTTATTTATAAGATGGAAATGGCAATATTATCTATGTTCTCGAGGTATGATGAGGATTAAATGAGGTGTTCTCTGTAAAAAGGTTCAATGTAGCAGGCCTGGCACATAGTTAAGTAGTTAGCTATTGTTTGTTCAACGTTTAAATTTTACTTTTGTTTTTACAAATGGAACCAAGTTTCTGTGTACATACTGTGTAACATGCTCATGGGAAAGGCCGTTTTGAGTTTGGCCCACTCCCCATGAGTCTACAAGGTAGAAATCCAACCCAGAAACCATGCTGGCAGTTCAGCATTAAAGATATACTAGTATCTTCACCGTGGCAAGGAGGAGAATCACCTTGCCTTGTGCTAGGTACTTAATATTAAGTCCCATCAAAAACAGTTTACTAAACAGAATTTTATTATGAATCAAATACTTTTTAGTGTGAGAGTAATCGAAATCTAGAGATCCTGTTGAAAATGTGGAAAAATTCAGAGTAAGAAACATTGGCCTGTGTTGCTGTTTATTCATGTAGATTTCTTTCACTTTTGTGCTTTATTTTCTGACTGTTGTTAGAGTATAATCCCTGTGGATTGTTTTATAGGTCCACTCAGCTGTTGAAGAAATGGATGGATTAGATGATGTTGAAAACAGCATGTTGTATTACAATCAAGCAGTCATTCTTTATCATTTGCGGCAGTATACAGAAGCCATATCAGTTGGTGAAAAACTTTATCAGTTTATAGAACCTTTTGGTATGTTATCTTTCAAGTCAGTAGTTTCCATATCTTCTCATACTTGCAAAGGTCTCTGATGTTTGTACCCAGATAACCTAAATCGGAGAATTACATGTCAGTAAGAAAGAAAAAAAGCTCTGTTCAGTTTTCTTAATGGTTAGAAAAGATAAAATTATATCACTTTCAGATGAATCCAGGTTTTCTTTTAGCACCCTCCCAACCCAATTTTTTAAGATAACTGTTAGAATTGCTGTTTCTAATATGAAAGAATTGCTGATTCGAGGGGTTTTCTTTGGTTGTGTACCTGACCCTTTCTTACCTAAGTGGTGTATTAAGGAAGGCGTGTTTTGTAATGTTAGGGGACTGCGTAGTAATTTATTTTGTCTACTGCCTAACTGAAGTAGAGTAGATAGTAGAGAACTGTGTTAGCTTTTTTTGTTATCTTAACTAGCTTACTATCACTAGCCTCAAGAGTAGGAACAAAGGGAAGGGCAAAGGGAAAAAGAGGGAGCAAATAAAGCAGCAAAGCTGGACCCAGGAAATGGTTGTTAGAGAGGGCTAATGGTTTCCACCCACAAGCACATTTCAGTTGTGATTCACATTTCTGCCTTTTTCTCCATGGTTACTTTTTTTTTAATTCAAAACAGCAATGCAGATTCCTGCTTTATAAACACCCGGTTGCTGATGTGGTCCCCTCAGGACATGTGGTGGGGTGGGGTGGCTCCCCCGTGATGCTTTGGGGAGAGTTACAGAGCCCCCGTTTGCTGACAGCTGGTTGAACAGCTGCTTACTATGGCTCCAGGGAAGCATTTTCAGGGCGCTTCTCTTCTTTCCCCCAATCCTGAGGGCGTGGTGGCTGGACAGACTGCCCCCGAGAGACCTCAGTGGTGAAGCATTGTGTAACGGGTGACCAGTCCTTTTCTTCTGAAAAGCTAGAAATCAGAATTATACTTTGAGGATGGCACAGATGTGGTTTTGGTTCCCCCCGCCCCCAAATAAAGCTGGTTTTTAGAATTTCCAGAACAGTTTCTGAAATCCTTTAATCTGCTAGGGTTGAGCAGAATCTAGCAACCAATTAGCACTCAAATGTATTTTTCTTCTTCTTTGAAAATTATTATTTTTTTAACTTCACTACTTGGATTCCTCATTTAACATATATTTATTGAGCATATACTATGGGCCAGACACTGGAACCTAAAGATTGATGCAGTGAATGAAAGAGAAAAAGTCTTTACCCTTATTAAGCTTATATTCTAATGGGAGAGAGTGCTGCACAAGAAATATATTGTGAGACAGTTAAATGCTGTGAAGAAAAGCTAAAATTGGGTACAGAATAGAGCTTGTCTGGGCATATTGTTTTTCGAGAGGAACAGCTGGAATGCCACTGTGACGAGCTGGATGGGGGAAATGGTAGGAAATGAACTCAGAAGTAGCCAGGGACAGAACAGGTAAAGTATTGTAACCTAGGTCGGGACTTATTGTTTGAGGGAAGCCCTTGGAGATGCCACCTTTGCATATTAACTGCACTGATTGTAGTTTTAAATGGAAACGGCTCTGGCTACTATGTAAGAGCAAGAAGGGAATCAGGAAGACTTGCTAGGAAGCTTTTAAGGACTTCTGAAATTTTCTGTTCTTGATTATAGCAGCCTTCTTTTCATCCTTATTTTCCCTTTTATGTTCTCTTTGAAAGGAAAGGAAATAGTGTTATGTCATGCTGGGTCACCCTTCCTTTCTTCCTTGGGTTCTTCCTTTGATGTTCTTGTCTTTATATTTCCCTCTTGGCTGTTGCAATTTTCTGATATACTCCAATCCACACCTTGGTTCTTTTGTGTCTTCAATCAGATTGTTTCTTTTTCCCATCTCTGTACCTTGAAAGGAAATACATTTACCGGAGTCAAGATCTTTTTAGAGTTAAAAGTAACTTCAAGAGATCACCTGGCCCACCCCCCTGCCTTTAGGCAGGTAAAATGTTCTCCCCATTTTACAGGTCAGCCATCTGAGGTCTAAAAATTAGTTCAGTGCTGTGTAAAGGCCACATAATTAGTAAGTAGCCAGGCAGGAATGGGAATTGAGATATCCTTCCACATAAAGTAAAATCCTCATTTCATGTGCTGGTGGTGTCCAAAGGATGTTCAGTCACTAGTCTTCCTGAAATGAGAAGTGGTGAGATACCTACTGGGATGAAATCAGGGGCCATGAGATGCCTAATATAACGGCATTGTTGGCATTGCAAGTTGTTTCCACCATGGCTCTAGGTGATGAAATTCATTTAAGTAAAGGCTTAGGCTTTGCTCTTTAGAGCTTTGGAGGGGAGGGGGGAGGTCTGAGATGTTTGCTTCACTTTGGATTGTAATTTTTCTTTTTGTTTTATTTTCCGCTCCCCACCCCCAGAAGAAAAATTTGCCCAAGCAGTGTGTTTTCTACTTGTAGACCTGTATATATTAACTTACCAAGCTGAGAAAGCTTTGCATCTTCTTGCTGTCCTAGAAAAAATGATTTCACAGGGTAACAATAACAAAAATGGAAAGAACGAGGTGAGTGTCCTAAAGTGATCAGACTGAAATTTAAATAATAATGAACATTTGTAGTTATTTATTATTTTAATAGCTTTACTGAAATATTATTTCACTGTACAGCATGATGACTAGTTAATACTACTGTATTTCATATATGAAAGTTGTTTAGAGTGTAGGTCTTAAACATGTATGTATAGGAGTTCAGTTACATAATCTTAGCATTATTCATAAACTGTAGTAAACTATTCCCATATTCAATACTTGTAATAGTTGGTGAAGTATAATTCAGTTCAACAGATGCTTCTGTGCTCTGCTTGGTACTAAGGTGACAGCAATGAAAACCTTGCAGTTCTTGATTTTCAAGGAACTCAAGTCTGTGGGAGGAAAATACTGAGCAAATCTGCTCAGGGACTGGGAGGATGGAGGTTAAGGAGTGTTTCAGAGAAGTTTGGATGTTTGACGTGGGCCTTTAAAATTGTAATAGTTTGACAAATCAGAAAAGGAAGGAAGGATGAAGCAGGATGACCATCCTGGCAGAAAAAACAGCACAAAAGGTGTGAGAAGGTGTGTTGGGGGAGTTGTAGTCATCTGAAATGGGAAGTCGTGCCTGAGAAATGTAATGGAGATCAGCAGCAGGGGATATTGGCCACTCGCATATGGGTCCTACCGTGAAGGATTTTGAATACTGTACTAGGAATTTAGGGTATGAGGTTGGCAGTGTGTATGACAGAAAGTTTTTAAGAAGGGAATTACATGATCGTGTCTGGGTTTTAGAAAGCTAACCTGAGTCTTGCCCAAGTAAGACCTATGCGTTTTAAACCTAGTCTATCATTGTGCGCCACAGCGAGCTTCTCATAGGTAGAGTTTCCTGTCACTAGTGAACCTGGATCTCTGGGACTGGGACCTAGGATTCTGAATTTTGAAACGTTCTCTAGGTGATTGAGATTCGCTCACTTGGAAATCTGTGATTTAAGTTGTGGTCAGAAATATTTCATTTTGATAAACTTTGTTCATCACCCTCTAGACTGGTAATAACACCAACAAAGACAGTTCTAACCATAAAGCTGAAAGTGGAGCTCTAATAGAAGCTGCAAAATCAAAGATACATCAGGTAATGTGACTTAAGAGAGGTTATACATCACATGTATTTACTTGTGGTTATGAATGATGAAGAATGTGATGGATCATTGAAGGCAGTAAATCATTTAAGACATGTATGTTTATTTATCTTTGAGGTATTGTAGTTTAGAAGCCATTTAATCCTTCTAAGTATACTTAAGGTGATAATGCAATATCATTTCTTTTATTTATTCAATAGAAGATTGAGAGAAAAAATGGTCTGGGAGTGTATTAGATGATGAAATCACATTCATTTAAAAATTCATTGTTAATTAGCCATGTGCAGATAAGAATTGGTAGGATTTTTGCTTGGAACTTAAGTATAAATTTTATTCTACCATGTTTTTAGTTTTTTAGAGTGTATTCCATTAATACAGTAAAAATAGATTATTTAAGATAATTTTTAACTTGCAAGTAGCTGGCATACCCATGTTGTAAACAGATTGGGTTTCATTTCCTTAACGAGAAAGCAGAACTGCTTCACTATGTGTAAATACACCATAGTTCTTACATGCTAGCATTTTTCCTCTGACAGTATAAAGTAAGAGCGTATATCCAAATGAAGTCTCTGAAAGCGTGCAAAAGGGAGATCAAGTCCGTCATGAACACAGCTGGAAATGTAAGTTTCTTCTTGACTTTTTTTTTTTTCAATTTGTGTCTCTTATGTCCTAAAACTTTCTTATTTGTACAATTTGTTATTTGTCAGTTTTAAATAATTTATCTTAGTCTGTTATGGTATATTATACTACCATATAAACCCTGATAATGAACTATGAAGTAATGATCATACTACAATTTAATGCAATATGTTTCTGACTTAAAATTATCACAAGCATTTCTCCTTGGTATGTAGCCTTCAAACCACTATTTTAAATAGCTAACCAGTGTTCTGTGAGTTGTTTATCACAATTCATATAAACATTCATTGTTATAAAACACTAGGATTTTTTTAAATTATACTGACAACATTAATTCAAGATTAACAGTCAAGTTGTAGCTCAAATCTGCCCCTTCCAAATGATCTTTGGCCTGACAATGCCTTCAGTTTGACTAGTGCTACTATTTGAGATATAATTACTCCTTTCTTCCACCCCCTTTACCCCAGCCCCCCACTGAGAAATAATTTTTAAGATGGTAGTGGGATAAAATCATGCCTGGCCACAGAGGCTTTTAGGATATTAATTAAAAGTATAAAATCATGCCTGGTTCGATTCCTGGTCAGGGCACATGCCAGGGTTGCAGGCTCAGTCCCCAGTAGGGGGCATGCAGGAGGCAGCTGATCAATTATTCTCTCTCATCACTGATGTTTCTATCTCTCCCTCCTTCTCCCTTCCTCTCTGAAATCAATAAAAAAATATTTTTTAAAAGGAGTATTAAATCATGACAAGATATGGTTTGTAGTAGGAATAGTTCAGGAAAATTGACCTTAGAAAATCCCAGGCAGGATTCATATTAGCCACTGGGTCAGTACTCAAGTGATTTTGAGAACATTTGAAGCCTAGACCTAAGAGGAGGGGAAAGGCCTATGTAGCCAGGCAGTCATTATGAATCCTTTTTTTGAGATTAAAAAATTAAAGTATGATCCTTGCCTTAAAGGATATCGTAGTCATAGGGAAAGGCAAACAGAAAAATAAATCATTGTAATGTAAGAAACAGTTGTTACCCTTGAGTCAGGGAACACTTGAGGAGAGAGCCTCGTTTTGGTGACCATGACTTAACTAATTCATTTATGCCCTTGAACACAGGCCACCACAACAGTGTGATTATGATCTCATTGAGCATCTAAAAACAAATTATAAGTAACTGATGTTTTCTTTACAGTCTGCACCCTCTCTGTTTCTTAAAAGCAATTTTGAGTACTTAAGAGGCAATTATCGAAAAGCTGTGAAGCTATTAAATAGTTCAAACATTGCTGAACATCCAGGATTCTTGAAAACAGGTAAAAGGAAATGGTGAAATTTTTGTATTTTCTTCCTGGCTCTTCTACCCTTTGTTGCCCCCCCCACCCCTCCAGTACCCATTTCTAATTCTGCTAAATTTTAATTTTTGATGTTTTTGTTGTCATGGCTTCCCCTCAGGGGCCCATTAACACCCAATCACTGAAATGATCTCTCAGACTCTACGCAGATAATATGCTTTGAGGAAATTTTGCTTAGGATTGTCGGGACAGATTTCAGAATTGATATTGGCAATCTCTAAAATGGAGTCGGGAGCAGGGCATGTTGTTGACTAATCCACAGTTACCATCACTTAATAGGAAATATTTTTATATAATAGTTGTATATTTTATATGTTGATTTTTTTATAACTATTAATTTTTAAATTGTTAATTTGCTTCCCTCATATAAACTTTATTTTTTTTGTTGCTGATAAAATATGCTTATAAGAGGAGATTTGGGAATAGAATTTTTAAAAAATTGTTCATAATACCACTACCCTGAAGCAACCTCACGTAAACATTTTAGTGTATTTCCTACTATATTTTATCTTTTTAAAATACAGTCATTGCTTAATTTTAAAATAGTTCAAAAGCCAACATTTAGTTTTTAGCATTAAGCATTGACTATCCTGATTATTAATTTTGTCAATCTAGTCAGGCATTTTATATCATTGAGGAAAAGATGGACTATCAGTAAACTGTTTTAGAATGTTTGGGAAGCCATTTAGAAAAAGGAAACTAAAGTTTGGATTGCTTCCATTACCCAAAATACAGTCCAGAGAGATGAAGGATTAAATATGAAAATAAAATCACAAAAGCAACTTGGAGGAATATATTAGTATTGTGATAGGGAGCCTTGATTAAACATTACCCAAAATCTAAGAACCATAGCACTTGGGAAAGCTTACTAAATTTGACCACATAAAGTATGAAACTTTTTATGATTAAAAATATAAACAATAAACACAGATACACTGGACCAAATCACAAGACAGATGACAAACTGGCAGTGGGGGAAATATTTGAAACAGATGTGACAGAAGGTTTCTAAACAGGTACCCAGTAGAAAAACATCTGTAACCAAATAAAAAAATGGCTAAAAAACAGGAAGGGGCAGTGTTTCAGACAAGAAATACAAATGCCCAACTAGCATGAAAAGATAGGTGCTCAGGGTAGTGGAGATTTATAGTTTAACAAGCAAAAGCAAGATTTTATATATCCTGCTTTATGTATTTTTGCTATTCTTCATTTAACATATTTTCACTGTTTCCATATATACTTACTTAATTCTTTCAGTTTCTACATAGTATTTTGTAATGTGGATGCAATACATATATATTAATTTACTAATAAATATTTTTTATTTTTTTGCAATTTTTTTTATCTGTTGCCTATAATGATTTAAAATTACATCAGAGCCCAGCTGGCCCGCTTGCAGGCTCAATCCCCAGTTGGGGGCGTGCAGGAGGCAGCCAATCAGTGATTCTCTGATCATTGATATTTCTCTCACTCTCTCCCTTCCTTTCTAAAATCAATAAAAAATATATATTTTAAAATAAATAAATAAAATTACATCAGGAAAAAAACATGAACAGGCTAATTAAATCATTATGCAGGGTTGGTTTATTGCCTTTAATAAATGACATTTTAAAAGGACAGGGAATCTGGTAATAGATTTATTTTGTATATTGTTTAAAAACAAACAAACAAACATTTACTAGGGGGGAAAAAAAGGAAAGGTAGTTTGCCCTGGCCAGGTGGCTCAGTTGGTTGGAGCATCGTCCATACACCAAAAGGTTCCTGGTCAAGGCATATACCTTGGTTGCAGGTTCAATCCCAGGTCAGGGTGCATATGGGAGGCAACTGATGAATGTTTCTCTCTCTCCCTCTTCTCTCTCTACATAGCAATAAAAACATATCCTTAGGTGAGGATTTAAAAAAAAAAAAAAAAGGAAAGGGAGCTTACAAAGTTTTCAGATGTTTCCTAAATTTCAAATGCCTTATAAACAATTCTATAGGACTGTGTGGAATTGCATATAGAATTAACTCATGTTAGATAAGCCCAATTCTTGTATGATGTACATCAACAGTAAAATTTGTCTGTGGACAAACTTATTTGTGTTTTTCTCAGGTGAATGCTTGCGATGTATGTTCTGGAATAATCTTGGTTGTATCCATTTTGCCATGAGCAAGCACAATTTGGGAATTTTCTACTTTAAAAAAGCTCTACAGGAGAATGACAATGTCTGTGCACAGCTCAGTGCAGGCAGCACTGATCCAGGTATGCCCTTTGCTGGGGGACCGTTTATATTTTACTACTTGAGGAAAGTCTGAGTTCAGAGAGCAAGCATCTGGTCAAAATGCATGCCGTGTGCATCTACAGTTATCACTGACCCTGCCCAACAAGTTTGACTGTGGGGATTTTTAGTAGATATTTGAATAACAAGGAGTTAAGAGTAATTATCAAAGACATTTTAATTCCCTTTTTTTCATAGATTTGAAAATCAGTAATCCCATATGGTAATGTTAAAAAACATAATAATTTTTGACGATTCCTTGATTGTGCCAAACTAATGTTATAACTTCTTTTCAGGGTTTCACATCTGGTACTGTTGGCAGCACCTAGCAATCTTTAAGCAATTCCTGAAATTTATTCCTTTAATATTCATATTATATAGGTTCTTGATTTGAAATGCTTAAAATCAGGCAATCGTTTAGCTTTGAATTTGAAAACTATTTAATTTATGAAAAATGTATCCAAAATCATTAATAGTCTTATTTTATTATTGATGGTGAAACTCTGAGTGAGTGAGTGAGTGAGTGAATGATAGTTATCATAGGTATAGCACATTAACTTTTATTTCCACAGTAAAATTCTGTAACACCATAACATTAACTGAATACTTCTGGTTAATAAAACGTACATGACAATAATTAACCAAACTTAAAGTAAAAAGAGTGGAATCTTTTTACAGACTCTAAAATGTGTAAGATTCAAAGGCGTGAGAGTGGATCCTCTCTCTTCTCTTTGCCTTCCTGGAGTATGTGTGGCCTGGGTTGCTTCTCACTTGTTGGCAACACAGACAACGGAAATGACTCTGGCAAATACTTGTGGGTTGGGGGCTGGAGATCGTCATTGATGAGAGCTATTAAACTTCACACTAGGGTCAGTGGTATTAAACAAAGTAGTGTTTAAGTACTTAGTGGAATGAATGTTTTCCATTAAGTAACTGCTATTTTAAATCTAATGACTGATTCCCACCTAATGTTTATCATTAGGCAAAAAATTTTCAGGACGACCCATGTGTACATTGCTGACCAACAAGAGGTATGAGTTGCTGTATAACTGTGGAATTCAGCTTCTCCACATCGGAAGACCTCTTGCTGCCTTCGAGTGCCTGATCGAAGCTGTTCAGGTCTATCACGCCAATCCCCGCCTCTGGCTGCGGCTGGCTGAATGCTGCATCGCTGCCAATAAGGGGGTGAGTGCTGCCTGGGTACCTTTTTGAACCCTCACTCTCCACCCATATCTCCTCCCTCCCCCACCCCCACCCCCACCCCCACCCCACACACACACTGTTACATGGAAAGCAAAAAATACTTGGAAATCTACCAGACCTCATCCCCTTTTTAACTCTCAGGGAATTTATAGAGTCTTCTGTTCTTTAATAGCTGGACAAAAAATTTTAGGTTCCAAAAGTCATTTGTTAACATCCTGGTTCTTGGTAAGTATGGCAACAGGTATCAGCACTCACATTACAGAGTTGAAGCCAACAAGGTCATACCTGTTGGAACAATGGTCAGCCAGCTGCTGGGCAGGGGCCATGTCATCTGTGGGTGTGAGAATGCTGTGTGCGCCAGGCGATTAGAGAAGCCTGGTGATAACCTAGTGAGTGTGGAGAGGACTGCATTACACTGCATTCCCTTCAGTGCCCGGGGCTTTACTTTTATTTATTTTTTTTTTAAAAATATCAGTATTTTTGTTGATTTCAGAGAGAAAGGGAGAAGGAGAGAGAGGTAGAAACATCCATGATGAGAGAGAATCATTGCTCGGTTGTCTTCTGCACGCTCCACACTGGGGATTGAGCCCGCAACCTGGGCACGTGCCCCATCCGGGAATCAAACCATGACCTCCTGCTTCATAGGTTGACGCTCAACCACTGAGCCACACCAGCCGGGCCGGAGGCTTTATTTTGATTCAGTAATTGGTTCAGAGATCACAATTACCAGGCTGTTTCCCTCTGACACACATCTATCCACAGTGTCTAAGAGAAATAGGCCAGTTCACGTCGGTGTCCATGCCTAGGTTATCTCCGTGAGGCACTGAGTGGAAGCCTTTGTATCTCAAGTGAGGAGTGGTCAGTGGGAGCCGGGGAAGACAGGCTGTATCAGAATTACCAGAACCACCCCCCACCCTTGCTGTGCTCTTGGGGTCTGTGGATTGGAGGGGGTGGCGTGGAATGCTGCCTGGCAGGCCTGCCATAGGTGGTAGAAGGTATATGGGCTCTCCTCCTAAACAGCACTTCCTGAAAAACATCTGCTAGTTTGTGTCATTGATTTATTCCATCTTACTTTTCCTTCTACATGACAATTTGCTTATTGGATAATTGTTAAATTAACTGACAATTCTAGGCAGAATTTATACTTTTTTAAAATAAAAGGCTCTCTAGAAATTGCTATTTTATTTAATCCATTTATGAATTTAGGCCATTCTCTTGTAGTACAGTTAATGGAAACCAGGGCATTACATCTTCCTGGGAGTAGAGACACATATTAAGGTTTAATATTTTCTTTTCAAATTACTTATTTTTAGAAATAGTATTTTTAGAATTGTCTTCATTCTGTGGATTGCAAACCCTCCCCCTTTTTTTTCTAGAAAGTTTAAAAATTTATAATTTTTAAAAAATGGTCAAGATGACTTGGTTGCCATAACTTGGTAGATACCAGAACACTCTGGTATCTATGCTACCAGATTACACTCTGGTATTAGTCTATGCTAATAATAGGAAATGAATAATTATCTCTTTGTGTTTCTCCTCCTTTTAAAAATGACCTGAAGTGGCCTAAAATGATAGTAAAAACAAGCCAGAATGTTCTCAAAATCAGAAAGCAAAATCCCAATAGGAGCAATAAGAAACTCCAAGTGAAATTGTGTAAATTTTCTTTCACTTGGTCAGGACAGGGGACGCTGAAGAAGGCAATTTGTAGTCTCAGAAAGAAATTTATTTTTTAATAAAATGAACCAACTTAATTGTTAAATTGGTGATACTAAGGAGATCATTTGGTCCTGTTTACCTGATGTATGTTGCTTCAGACCTTTTGGCACAAGCAGGACTGATGTTTAGGTGGGTAGTGTATAATATGTGAGAAAATATCTGCTAAATAGAAAGCATAAGACTCAATTGTAGGGAGAGTATTTAATCAATGTAAGATAAGGCATTTTAAAAGAACATAAAATATACCATTTACTTTTCTGAAAATGTACCATTTATTTTTCTGAGTTCTAAAACTCAAGATTGGTTAGTGCTATTACTGCAAAGACATTATAAAATAATCAATATTTTAATCATGTATGATTTTTTTTTAAATACTGGGAGTAGTTAGGGCTTAAGCCTTTATTATTATTTTTTTTTAAATATATTTTTATTGCCCGGCCAGTGGGGCTCAGTGGTTGAGCATTGACCTATGAACCAGGAGGTCACAGTTCAGTTCCCAGTCAGGACACATGCCCAGGTTGCAGGCTTGCTCCCCAGTGTGGGGCGTGCAGGAAGCAGCCAATTAATTATTCTCTCTCATCATTGATGTTTCTACCTCTCTCTCCCTCTCCCTTCATCTTGGAAATCAATAAAAATACATTTTTTTAAAAGACTGTTTTAAATATATATATATTTTAAAAGACTTAAGTATTTAAACTATGTATATTTTTACATGTGCCCATGTAAGTCTTAATATAGGTAGCTTATTAATGTTCATATGTTGTTGACAAATTAATTAATACCTTCACTTTAAGAAGGAAAAAATATCGGTCCCAGGTTCCATTCCTGTCAAGGGCACATGCTCAGGTTGCAGGCTCGATCCCCAGTAGGGGGCGTGCATGAGGCAGCCGATCAATGATTCTCTCTCATCATTTATGTTTTTATCTTTGTCTCCCTCTCCCTTCCTCTCTGAAATCAATAAAAATATATTTTTAAAGGGGGTGGGGGGTAGGGAGGCAGTGGGGGGATAAGGATACATATGTAATACCTTAATCAATAAAGAAAGAAAGAAAGGAAAAAAAGAAGGGAAAAAAATCTGTGTTTTAGGAAGTGGAACTGCCTCCCTTTTCTTCTTCACTGTGTTTCTGTGACTCTCTTTCTTTACTCTGATGTCAAAGTGTCCGTAATATGCAGCATAGTGCCTGGGGGGTAGAATGTCCTGAATAAATTGTTCTAAATACATGCTTAAGTCATACTTAAATTGCCTTTTTTCCTTAGAACTACCTCAAACCTCATATTAATGAAACATAGCATATGTCACACAGACTGTCAGCCCCATGTACTCTTCTTCAATACTGAACGTATTTCCTGTATCACCAAAAACTACACATTGATGCGTCTTAAGAACTTTCTTAGAGTAACTGGAAAGGTAGTGGGTCATTTTTCATACCCTGTTTTACAGCTCCATTAAATTAATGAGAAATTATTTATATTTTGTAGACTTCTGAACAAGAAACTAAAGGTCTTCCCAGTAAAAAAGGAATTGTACAGTCTATTGTTGGTCAAGGCTATCATCGTAAGATCGTTCTGGCCTCACAGTCCATACAGAACACCGTGTATAAGTAAGTATTTGCAAAGAGAAAGTGTATGTATTTAAATTTATTATTTCATAAGAGGAACCACCTTGTAACTAAGTTTTATGACTATTTCAAAATAGGTGCATAGTGAATGTTACCTGACATGTGACTTTGGTTTGTTACATTCCTGGGAGCTGAAATTATTGATGGCCTAAGAAGCCCTAGTCTAGTCAGTGCCATTATTCAGAATGTCCAGAAGAGGGCATCTCGATGTTTCCTTTTTGTAGTGTCATTGTTAACTTCTAGGTAATTTTCTCATAGTCCCTAAAGCGAATTCTTTGTATTAGGAGGAAAAAGTACTAATACATAAAACATCCAAAGCAATATAAATTCGTCACATGTAAAAAAAATCTTTAGTTAAATATGAACGTCTTTATCTTGTTGGGTTTTTTTTTGTTTTTTTTTAAATATATTTTATTGATTTTTTACAGAGAGGAAGGGAGAGAGATAGAGAGTTAGAAACATCGATGAGAGAGAAACATCGATCAGCTGCCTCCTGCACATCTCCCACTGGGGATGTGCCCGCAACCCAGGTACATGCCCTTGACCGGAATCGAACCTGGGACCTTTCAGTCCACAGGCCGACGCTCTATCCACTGAGCCAAACCGGTTCCGGCAAACGTCTTTATCTTGTATAAAGATTCCAATTTAGAGTTGTTAGTATTTCTAAAGTAGTAGGCTTTTTAAAAAAACAACTTCGTGCTTTTTTCCCCCCAACATAAAATTTGTTCACTACCATTTCAAAGTTTTCCCACAGTTTTAGAATAGTATCTGGCACACAATATTTTGGTATTAATTTATTTCAACTACGATGCAGATTTTTTTTAAGGACTTGATATAGCACATCACTTTCCTACAATTTCAAAATTGTTACTAATTTTCACATTTATATATTTCCTAATAAGCCTATTTAGTTTCGGTTTAGTTTGATATCAAAGCAAATAAAGTTATATAAAATCTCAACAAAATTATAAGACAAATAATGCTGCTTTTGCAAAACTTAATAAAGGCATTTTTCAAAGTTAAAAATCAACCAAAACGAGGCTCAAATGTGGAAATCTTCCTTCCCTTGTTTCCAATTCTCATTATACCTGTCTTGGCCCTCATTACAATTTTTCTTGTTGATAACTTCTCTAATCCATTAACAATAATGGGTATAATGTATATACTTGCAATGTATATACTTTTTGCACCTTGTGTTTACAATTTGAGCTTTAAGCATTCTCTTATAACTGCTTATATTAAAATTTCTACCTATCACAGGGCAAAGTTTTCATTTACAATTATATTGGTTTTATTTCTGATAATGGAAAAATGCTCTTTATTTTTATGTTATTTACGTAGCTAATTTGATTTTGTCCTTTTAAGTGATGGACAGTCTTCAGCCATTCCTGTAGCCAGTATGGAGTTTGCAGCCATTTGTCTCAGAAATGCCTTGTTGCTGTTACCTGAAGAACAGCAGGATCTGAAGCAGGAAAATGGGTCTAAAAACAGTAATCAATTAGGTGGGAACACCGAGAGCAGCGAAAGCAGTGAAACTTGCAGGTATTCTAATCCCTTTGAATCTCCTTGGCAGAATCCCTTCAGGACTTTATTAGTAAGCAAGCCTCTGTGAGCTGCAGGTGAATCCCTGAAATCTTCACCCCGAATTTCCAAAATTCTCCATTTTGAATAATAAGGAAGGAAAGTATAAATGTTTGTTTGTATTTTTTTTTTTTTTTACTTTTGATAAAATAAATACTCTGGCCACTGTGGCTTAGTTGGTTGGGCATCGTCCCATGCCCCGGAAGGTTGTAATTCCATTCCCAGGCAGCACATGCCTAGGTTGCGGTTCGATCCTGAGGGGCCTGCAGGAGGCAGGTGATGGATGTTCCCCTCTCGCATGGATGTTTCTCTTTCTCCTTATCCCTTTCTCTCTAAAAATTAATGAAATATTTTTAAATAAATAAATACTTAAATCCTAAAATTGTACCAATCTATAGAAATTGGGACAGCTTATTTAGTAATAAACAAACACCATTTTATACAGAGAGTGTTCTTTTTTACACATGGCACCTTTAAACTCAAGTCTCCTATCCCAGCATTTTTTCTTAATGATAATAGAAATATGTGTTTAATATAGAAAATCTGAAAAAAAAATTGTGGGTTTTTTTTTTTTTCTCTCTCCATGAAGGGGTTATGTTTTACCATAGTTGATAAAAGGTCATCAGAAGAATGAGAAATGTGTGAAAATTTTGAAGTGGGTTTTTTTGTATGATGGAGATAATGTTTTGAATTAGAGGTTTTTAAAGCAGTATTGTGTGCTGGGGGAAAGAAACTAATAAACAATATAGCTTTAACACATCAATGATACCAACTTATAAGCATATTTCATTGTTTTGCCTCTTTGGTACTTTCATTACAAAAAAATGCATGGAAAACAAAATTTTACATTTAATTTTTTATTTATTGCTCTTCATAATTAAGAGTCCTTCTTTATTTTAGCAGTAAAAGTCATGAAGGAGATAAATTCATTCCAGCTCCACCTTCTTCTCCATTAAGAAAACAGGAATTAGAAAACTTAAAGTGAGTATCCAAACAAAATTAGTATTGCATTTACTGAAATGAGCACATTGTTGTTGGTTTTTTTAAAAATTTTTTTTAAATATATTTTATTGATTTTTTACAGAGAGGAAGGGAGAGAGATAGAGAGTTAGAAACATCGATGAGAGAGAAACATCGATCAGCTGCCTCCTGCACATCTCCTACTGGGGATGTGCCCGCAACCCAGGTACATGCCCTTGACCGGAATCGAACCTGGGACCTTTCAGTCCGCAGCTGACGCTCTATCCACTGAGCCAAACCGGTTAGGGCGAGCACATTGTTTTTAATCTTTCTTACTCTTTTTAAGATTATGAATTACATTGATTGAATGTCAGATGTTAAGCTAACCTTTAGTCTCGTGACAAACACTATTAATCAGAATATATTGCCCTCTTTGTAAATTGTTGGATTCAGCCGAAACCGGTTTGGCTCAGTGGATAGAGCGTCGGCCTGCGGACTGAAAGGTCCCAGGTTCGATTCCGGTCAAGGGCATGTACCTGGGTTGCGGGCACATCCCCAGTAGGAGATGTGCAGGAGGCAGCTGATCGATGTTTCTCTCTCATCGATGTTTCTAACTCTCTTTCTCTCTCTCTCCCTTCCTCTCTGTGGAAAATCAATAAAATATAAAAAAAAAATTGTTGGATTCAGTTTGTTAATATTTTGTTAGGAATATTTGCTTCTATGTTCACAAGGAAGATTGGTTCATGCTTTTTTTGTAATGTCTTTGGTCAGGTTTTGGTTTCAGGGTTATGCTGAACATATAAATGAATTGGGAAGTGTTTTCTGAAAGAGTCTATGTATGATAAATATTTCTTCTCAGATGTTTGCTAGAATTCACCAGTGGAACCATCTGGCCTAGGGTTTTCTCTGTGGTGAATTTTTTAAATGAATTCAAATTCTTCAATAGAAGAGTTTTATTCACATTTTTTATTTCTGTATCAGTTTGGGTAGGTTATGTATTTGTCAATTCCAGCATATGTATATATAGTGGGGTTTTTATACTAGCAATTGCATAGTGTCCACTTCTCTATACCTTGCTTTTCCCATTTGACTTTATGTGTATCTTATTGTTTGATATTAGTACAAATCTGTTTCATTCTTTCTAATGGGTGCATAACATTGCATTATATGGTATCACAATTTATTTAGCATTCCTTTATATTTGGCTACTTATAATGTTTCAGCCTTTGCTATTATAAATAGTGCTTCAGTGAATATCATTTTACACAATATATAGGGGACTTCTTAAAGAAAAAGGTATTTGAAACCATTTTGAAACTTGATTTAATTTCTACAGATTTATTTGAATGAATACTCATTTTAGGGTTCTTAATTTTTGCATGCAACTTAAGAAGTATATTATCCCATAATGATTGAACAGCTGCAGAATGGTATAAATTAACTTTATATTCTGAAAATGGCATTAAAGAAAAGGGTATGTGCAGGGTGGCCTACTTCTCAAAGAGCTTTGTACTTCTCATGGCATCATTCTTTGCTTTCCATGTCTTACCTAGCAGGAGGATTGGTGATTTTCAGGGAAAATTAAAATTACTTCCCTATTTTTGTGGAAAGGGGTGAAGGATTTCCATAGGGAGTTTCATCGTCATAAAGTGAGGCGAAGATGGGTTCGGTTTATATTAACCTTTCTTTCTTTCTTATGGAGCAGATGGGAGAAAGGAAATGGGACAAGATGGAAGGAGCCTTAGGGTAAATTTATAAAAAGGACTGCTATGCAAGACAGTAGTCATGGTAATGTGGAGACAAATGGTGCAGGGAAAGAGTCGTGAAAGATTAGTGTCGTAATTTTTAAGGCTATAAAAGCTCACAATGCAGTTGGGTATGATCAAGAGCAGTTCTGTGGCAGGAGCCAGCTGTCGTCTATAGAGGGAAGGAGCACGTTGGTTCTGTTAGGATCATGAATTCTTAGAGATTTCATCTATTTCTGTTCTGAATTCTTATATGTGATTGGAAATGTGTGTGACTAGTGAATAGTTTAGTTTTTATGGACTATTATATTTGACCCCTTTGTGCTCTATAATACCCAAGACACCAATGCAAAACCTCATTTCCTGTTTCCAGCATAACTAATAAGCAGTAAATTATCATGACTGTTCTGATGACCACTTCTTACGGTATGGGTTCACAGCGTTTTGAGTATTTTCCATTTTTTTGGTTTTGTTTTGTTTTGTTGTTTTTCATTTGTACATAAAGGAAGATGGCTCCAAAAAGTACTCATTCTAACCAGGTTACAAGTATGCTTTCAGAAGGCATATGACACCTGAATTAGTTGAGAGATTCCATACTATAAAATCAAGGTAGGTTTCAGAAAAGTAGTTTCACAATTAAAACAGAAATTTGCCCCCAAATCAGGGAAATGTCTGCGAAATTAAATAGTTTAATTGTGAGGCTCAGATGAACTTAGAGGTACTGATATAATGGATCAAGAAAGGTGTGTGTGTACATCAGTTTCATTCAGTTAGGAAAACGCATAGTTCAGCCTTGAATTAAACAAATGCTCTGATTTTAAGTTTTTAAAATAAAAGATGATTCTATTTCTAGGTATTTAGACAAGAGAAATGAAAACTTGTCCACACAAGAATTTTATAGCAGCTTTGCTCATGATATACAAAAACTAGAAAATAACCCAGCTATCCATTCATAAGAGAATGGATAACTAAATGTGTGATTTATTCTATCTATTGGAGTACTCTCAGCTATATAAAAAAAGGAAGAAATTACTGATGCCCAAGTTAACATGATTTGAATCTCAAATATTTGTGGGGTTTTTTTTACTTAGTATAAGGTACATATTATATAGTTCCATTTGTACCATTTATATGATGGACAAAACTATACAAAATAATTTATATTGATAGAAATTAGTGGTTGGGAAATTGACTATAAGGAATCATTCTGGGATGACAGAAACGTTCTGTATGCTAATATATATGTGTGTATGTGTATATTCAACCTCATCAAGCCGTACACTTAAAATGGTGTATTTTTAAAAATATATTTTTATTGATTTCAGAGAAGGAGGGAGAGGGAGATAGAAACATCAGTGATGAGAGAGAATCATTGATTGGTTGCCTCCTGTATGCCCCCTACTGAGGATCAAGCCCACAACCCCGGAATCAAACTCGGGACCCTTCAGTCCGCAGGCCGACACACTCTATCCATTGAGCCAAACCAGCTAGGGCAAAAACGGTGTATTTTAATGTATGTAAATTATACCTCACTTAAAAATTTAAGGTTTTTAGAAAATTAATATAATTCTAAATATATTCTTTCAGGAAATACAATTTAACCAATAAAAAGTCAATTTCCTTTACACATCATTTATGAAGTGCCATGACATGGAAAACTTGGTTTCTTAACCAAAAAAAAAAAAATTCCTCTACTTGTATTTAACATATTTCTTAGATTCCAAGGCTACAGTATTCAGTACAGATCCACTCATCACATGTGGCTATTGACCACATGAAATGTGGCTGTTAACAAGGTGTGCTGTTTAAATAGGTGATACCCAGATTTCAGAATTTATTATCGCAGTAATTCTGGTATTGATTGTATATTGAACTAATTAAAATATATACAATTAATTAAAATGTGCCTGTTTCTTTCTACTTTTTAAAAATGTGCTGACTAGAAATTTTAAAATTACACTTATGGCTCCAGTTATATTTCTACTGAGCAGCGCTGCTCCAAGGTTTTGAGCTGGGTTTGAAGTGTTTGTATTGTTGATATATGGTTTCTATAAATGTATAATATTGTTGCTATGTCAGTTTTCTTACATGCCACAAATTTTAGCTGAATATCTCTTCAGAATTATTTTTGTCTTTAAAAGGCCTAGTGTCCAAATGAATCCTAGAATGTAGAAGCTTGCACAGGATTGATATTTGGGCCATATGTTTTGGTTTAATTATTAATGCTGCCACATGCATTTGGAGATAATGATTTTCTTATGCACTTATTGATTATATAACAAGGGTATACTTTTAAGATTTTCTTTTTTTTTAAATATTAAATCATATTAGCATAACCAGTGGACACAGACACTGGGGTGGTGGGGGCTTGTCCTGGGGGGTGGGAGTGGCTGGGGAGGGGTTGATGGGGGAAAAAGTAGACATATGTAATACTTTAAACAATAAAAATATATGTATATATTAAGTCAATTAAATCAATTTATTTTTATTGATTTCAGAGAGGAAGGGAGATGGAGAGAGAGAGAGATAAAAACAACAATGATGAGAGAGAATCATCGATCAGCTGTCTCCTGCATATCCCCTACTGGGGATTGAGCCCACAACCTGGGCATGTGCCCTGAATAGGAATCGAACCGTGACCTCCTGATTCATAGTTCGATACCCAACCACTGAACCATGCCGGCTGGGCAAGATTCAACCATTTATTGACTGTCAACTGATATATATTTAAAAGTTTTATTGAGATACTAGGGGCCAGTGCACGAATTTGTGCACCTTGAAAGGAACTGTGGGCTACGAGGTTGCAGTAGGCACAGGGGCGGTCTCGGCCCATCCTGTGCGCCCCAGCCCGGCCCCTCTCACCACAGCCCCCAGTCCCCTGTCTGCATGCAGCCCCACTCCCTCCCGCCACCACCACTCCCATCGCCGCCACTCCCATGTGCTGATGGCGCCAGCCCCACTTGCACCTGCCGACAGCGCGGAGTGATAGGAGCCGGCGCCAGCAGCGGGTACAAGTGGCGGCTGCTGCCCCGATCGCCCCTCAGGAGCAGAGGGAGGTGGAGAAGCCCTCAGGGGCAAGCAGCGGCTCCAGTGGTGGCAGTGGGTGCGAGCGGGGCCGGTGCCGGCAGCAGGCACAGCGCCAGGTGGGACCGCAGCGCATGGTAGCAAAGAATTTTCAGTAACCACCAGTCTCACCCCGATGACAGTGACCAGCACCCCACCTTGGTCTGCCGCCCCCACTCACCTGCTCCACCATCCTGCCGTGGCCAATGCCTG